GTGGCATCATACTTTAATAGGCTCAGTTGACATATGACCCACATAAAGTAGAAATGTCTTAGGAAAAATAAGAAAAGTGTAGCAGTGTTTAATATTTGTCTTGCTTAAACCAAAAAGACATATTAAATTGAAACTTCCACTGTTTAATTTTAATTTTTAAGATTTTCTTGTATGTTGTAAATTTATACATTTTTTACAATAATATAACCTGCTTCATCTTAGGATATAATAATTTCAATGTGATTGGACTTGGACCCAGGTTTGTTGTAGAAGGTTTTGAAAGATCCTGAATACCTTACAAGCAATATTAAATTTACTTTCAAGGTAAGGGATTTTACTGGACAGTATACTTATTTAAGTTCAAACTACCATTACAAGTAGTCTTTTCCAGCTTTTCTACTGCTATTGAAGAACAATTTTGGGAAATGTACCATGCAAACAGAAGAACTTCTGTGAATTATTTGATGCAAGGCACTGCAGCAAAGTAACTGTTAAAAATTACAGTAAAGGTAAAATTGGTTCTGTACTTCAATAAGAATCATGCCATGAGAAGTACAAGGTAGTGGAGCCTCATGCATATTTAAAATAAGCATTAGAATGAAATAGGTGATCAGCTTTGTGCTCTGACTAACAGGAAGTTAGATGAGCTCCAGAGCCAAACATGATGATGAAAAAAATCCCTGCCTAGCTCTAAAAATATTAAAATGAATTTCTTGTTTGAAACCTTTATTTACCTGGTGTTCATCCTTGAGAACACAGCCAGTATTAAAGTTGTTCATCATCTCATTCTTCACTGAGTTCACAGCCTCTTCAGTGGTTCCACCCACCCTCAATTTCACCATTACAGTGAAACCCTGTCCAAATTTCTGTTTCAGATACTGGATACCTCCCATACATACAAACTGTCCATCAACCATTATGGCCAACCTGTTACACAGTGCTTCACACTCCTCCATGCTACAACACAAAACAAGAGTACACTACACAGAACCCCAATGAAGAAAACATGACAGACTCAGATCAGTCTGGATGTGTGAGGTGGGGTGGAGGTGTGAGCCATGAGAGGCTAGAGGGAGTGCTTGCTTAGTCAAGCCCAATTTACATTCAACTATTGGTGACAACAATCTTATTAATTTGTAAGCCTTTCCTATTCTATTAAATTACACTATGAAACTCTTTCTCAGGATGCTCATTTTATTGGGGCCTGGTCTGCTGTGCTTCCTGTTCCTGGAGCTATGCCTCCTGGGTTTTCTTTCCTGTGCCTAGCTCATCATAGCTTTGGAAATCCATTTTGTGCCCTTGAAGGGCTTTACCAATGATGGGTTGGATCTCTGCTGGTCCCTGCAGGCCTTTGCACCCTCTGAACTGCCTCACTTTGGTTCTTTTCCCTATGTGGCATTGCCCCCTTGGTCTTGCCTTCACTTTTTTGGACACCCCTGCACCTCTACCATCTCAGGTTAGATCATCCAGACCTCAGGAGAACCAGGACTATTACTCAGGGGTTTTGCCACCCAGGTCCTTCCCCAGATTGCTTGCTTTCTTGAGGCCTAGCCCCCCTCAATTGTTACTACTGGGGCTGTACCCAATGGGCCACCTCTCCCCTGACTTCACCACTAAGTCTGGACACATCTGTGCATCCACCATCCTGGTTGGAATATTAGTGCAAGAATGATGTCAGGTCACTGTCTAAACATACTGTGCAACAATGACATTGATCACATCAGTGTAACAATGAACTCCATAATGTGGCATGAAGAATGCCATTGGAATGTCAGTGTACACCAAAAAGCGCACCTTCCCAATTTCATTCATATGAAAAATGGGTTTTATTATTTATTTCCACTGATAAAATGTGTACTACTAACTGAATAACTGATAACTGATAGCTGCAACTGGCCATCCCTATTATCCCTCAGAATCCACAGGCACACTATCAACTATAAAATTGGTTTTTCTGTATGTGACTCAGTAGCAGTGTAGCTCTTAAAATCTCATTTCAGCACTGAAGGAAATAAAGTGCTCACTATAATGTTCTTGAATCTCTTCTGTCAGTGGAAAGTATACAAAATATGAGTATAATTTTTGTGACTTGCTGATACAGAATACATGCTTCATCAATAAATTTGATTATCTCCCACCTCAAAAAATTTCAGAGGAGAATTTTAGTTCTCATAACAACATATTTTCTATTTACTGACAAACTGAGCAATTAATAATTTTAAGCTGAATACTCTTTGATAGTTATATATAATACAAGAACTAATAAAATACTCTTGGGCTATCAACTGGTAATAGTAGTAGAAGTAGCAGCAGCAATGAAAAACAATGATAAATTATAATGATGATGATAATAAGCACAAAGAAAAAAGCAACTGTGAAGGATGACAACATATCAAAAAGACTTGAGAGGATTACTGAACACATAACATACGTGTGTGAAGTAAGCACTACAGATTGGCCAGACTTCTGGATAGATGTTAACACAGTCCACAGGTTCCGCCTGGCCACAGGGTCAACTCCACTTGTAGGTTCATCCAAGAACACAATTGGAGGATCCCCTATCAGTGCCATGGCTGTACTCAGCTTACGTTTGTTGCCACCACTGTATGTTCCACACTGTCTGTTCTGATACTCCTGAAGTCCTGTCCAGGAATATTATTAATGTTTAAATAAAAATGTCACCTTATCATAAATAAGACCCTAACAACTTCCACAGTAACAGACCCTGAAGGATTACGCCACTAGCATCAAAGTCTGCCATTTACATGATCCTGAGCAAGTCCCATCCACCTCCTATCTGAATGTTCTCCATTTTCCAAAAAAGGTTTTCTCACCAGAATTCTGCATGCATTCCACGCGTTTCCCATCAAAACGATGCCTCCTAGATTTTACTCTCCTAACAATACAGCAGTATAAGTCATCAAATTCCATGCATTTAAGTATCCTTAATTAACCACTTATTTCATCTTTCTTTGGGGGAAATATATGTTAAAGAAACATGAATGCACACTTCCACTGTAAACTGAAAAGACTAGGCAAACACACATCCCTCATCCACTTAGTACTAGTAATAGTCTACCATGGTATATATACATTTATGTTAGTGCTGACTATAATGGTTAGCATTCTTGCTAGATGCAGATGCAGGATCTTAAAAATAGGCCATAACCACTTCCTTCCACATCCTTTTCAATTCACTTAATGCTATATTGCCTGTGCATTGACAATGCATTGTTAAATATACTAAGAATGAAGCACAATGAATGAACGTGACTAGTCACTATTGCTTAAATTTGATTTCACAACTCACCCATCAATGACAGCCACTTGTTGACTTCATTGTCAATATCAACTCGTGAAATTCCACGAAGATTAGCAAAGAGTTTCAACATTTCACGAGCTGTCAAAGTCTCATTGATGCCATCAAATTGTGGGCAGTACCCAATTTGTGCAAGGAACTGTAAAACAACACATTATTTATGAATGCTGATGTTGCATTATAACATACATGAGGGAAAATGATTCCAATCTCTCATTACAAGAATTAATATTTTGATACTGTCTCAGAGAGGTGTAGTATTACTAATTAAGAATTCTTACCTTGGGCTTTTCATTCCTAAGTGTGTAGTGAGAAATCAGTGCATCTCCACTAGTAGGAATTTCATCTCCAGTTAGCATCCTGAATGTGGTGGTCTTGCCTGCACCATTCACACCAAGCAGCCCAAAACATTCACCAGGGGCTACACCAAAACTTACTCCTTTTACTGCTGTGAAGGCTGATCTGAACTTTTTCATTATATTATGGACCAGCATAATGTCATCAGTCCCACATTGAAGAGGGGCTGCTGCAAATGAGAAATTGGCCTATGTAACCTAACTAAATCAAGAAGGTGGGCTCAGACAAGAGCATGAGAGAAATAATTAAAATTTTCTTGAGCAAGTTTACAAAGCAGATAAAATATATTTTCATGCAGAGAAAACACTTCTACCCTTAAGATGTATTAACAAAATTCAACTGTTGAAAGGTACAGCCTCAACATTTTTATTGATAATTCTTTCACCAAAGGACAAAAACAATTTTGCCACGGTGGTCTAGCGGTTAGAACGCTGGCCTTGTAATCCTTGGGTCTCGGGTTCGATTCCCGGCGGTGCCCGAATTTATAACTTGTGTTGGACAAGGCAGTAGTCTAGGCAACACGGAGTTTTCCTCCGGGGGCTCCCAACAATTACTCCATTCACACACAGAAGAAGGCAATGGCAAACCACTTCTGGATCATCTGCCAAGAACGTATATGAACAGGTCCCAGTCCGAGAAAAGGATGGAAGGATCCTGTTCATATGGACCTGGCGTCAGACAGAACACTAAATAATAAACTTGTCACACATAAGTAGAAAGCTTCTAACACCAAAAACTAAAATTTAAAATAAACATACTTGCTATTTTGTGGACTCGTTCTTTTTCCATCAACACATCATCTTCAAGTTCTTGTACTTCAGTTCCAGTTCCAATGATTCTCTTCATGATCATATCATATAATTTATCAAATACTTTATATTCCACTAAAAATATAAGGCCAAAGTAAAGTATGCTGTCTACTGCCATATATAGTATTTGTTCACCAGCTGCATTTGGATTATCATCATCTGCAAATGCTAGGTAGGGCTTATATATGTATGGGCAGTAGCTATCTTTGCAGCCAGGTTCTGGGAAAGAAAAGAAAAGAAGAAAATCAATTACAAAACATTAAACTTTCTATGAATGATGTGTTGGAAAGCCTAATTATTAATGCTACAAAACAAATGTCACAGCTGAGTGGTTATCACTACTGCTCTGTATTAAGAAGATCAAAAGTTTAAATAGTGGCCTGGAGACCACTTATTTTGACTGAGGATTTCACGATTTTCCTAGTTCTTCCATCAAATTCCAGGATAGTACTTTAAGTATACCATGGCCACTTCCTTCCATATCCTTTTCAATAATTATCCTATAATCTGACCCAATGTGTGTTGTGTGTATATATGAGTAGACTCAGCCACTGCCTGTGTTATTAAATAAACCACAAACAAATAAACAACTGTCACAAATTATGATTAGATAAATGTTTTGATTCAATTTGCATATAGGTATGTGTTTTAAGTACACCAACTAGAAACTTTTCTAAATGTTACTCTTTTAATTCAATCACTTTTTCACTTAGATTTTCTGTATGTGTAGAACTGCCTCACAGTTAATTAGTAACATGGGTGGCCTTGATTATTTCCTTCCATATCCTTTCTAATTTATTATACATAATTACTTTTCTATGAGATAATGACTGCATTGTTAAACAAACCATGAATATACATTCATCAGGAATTCAGGTTCCAGCAGTTTGCATAGTATTAATTTAATGCACAGAACACAGAATTTTTAAAAATTGGTAAAGTCTGACACATTGAATAAAATTGTTCTTGAACTGACTCGGATGTAATGTTGGTGTAATTTAAGAAGTCACTAACTACATTTTAGAAGGTTTAAAGAAAAACAAGTTTTAAAGTTCTTGAAACTGCATATAAACAACACTCCAACATCAAACTCTTTTCCCACGGTAAAACAAGATTCCAGTTAGTGATTTGTTCTACACATGCTTCCAAACAAGTTGAGTTTGATGCGCTACTAATAATGTTAATGACACTGACATTAAGTTATTTAATGAAGGTCACAATGCCTCACTTTATATCATTGAAACTGATATGTCAAATTACTTTAACTAATTATTCCAGGAAGTTATCCACCATATTGCCTCTTCTGCTATATGGGTAAGGCACTGTATGGGTATGAAAACCAAGTGTCCTCTACACTGTAAAACGTAAAAAACTATTAATGGCTTACGGCAGCAAACATCATTTCCAGGGCATGATATTGTCTTAATTTTGCATCTATTATTCTTGATGACCAGGTCTGAGAAGCGCATAAATCCAAATGTGATGGAGAAGTGTGGAATAAATTGTAGAATATATTTAAGGCCATTTCCAGCACTTTTATACTCTTCTGCCAGTAGCATAACATATACTATCACGCTCATTATCAATCCTACAAATAAGAAGGGACAAATCAGAAATGAAAAAGTGTATGTGTATGCACATGCAATTATTTACATGCAAGACAAAAGCAGGCACAGCATATAATTAGGTTCTATCATGCCATAATATGAGTTAAGTTGGGGATTTTTTCAAAGGAACTCATGCTTTGTATTACAAGTACTTAGGAGTAACAACACCTGAACTCGCATAAGCAAATAGAAGCAGAAACAAAACGGAGTAACAAATTATACATTAACTATTAATAGATGTGTATTATACCTATGAAAACCTCTTTTACAGTGAAAATAGATTCCTCCATAACAGTGGTAACCACTTACATGACTACTTTGTCTCACAGTCCACACAATCACAAACTAAACCTCCTACCAAGTATCTTAATGGCAGTCAGTCAGGATGATTTTTCTAGTCTTCTAGTATTAAGAGCTGAGAATGCATGAAACCATTTCCCCAAATTCCATATGTGTAGTGCTTGGCACATGGATAGCTTAAGTTTTTCTTAAAAATACCCACACATTTATTCTCACTCACATTATAAGATAATGGATAATACAGTTCTTACCAGTCAATATATTTACTAGACTAAGTACATTAAATGCTCCTGAATTACTTCTTCGTAAGTAGCTACAGGTGTATGCAAATGGAATACCACATAATCCATACATCACTAACATCAAGAAGAACACACCTGAAAGAAATACATTTGTTGAATGAAGAACTAGTAAGTATTGAGTATTCATGTAGACTAGTCTATTGCTGAACTGGGGATTTCAGCTAAAAATGTAATTACTGACAAATATGCAGAAAAGTTCGTTCCTCTTTGCCAAAGAAATGTCATCAATAAGACAGCAATGAGAATCACATATCATGAGAGTACGAACATAAATAGAACCAGTTCTGGTATTCAAGTCTTCAAACATACATACTCAGTTCTTCAGATTGGTTGAAGACATTAAGAGGATCAGCAGTATAAACTCCCAACACCATGATGCCTGCTACAACTATGTAGTAGAGAAAGTCACATATAAAGCATGTGAACCAGTATGCAAGGGGCAAGACCCCAGTCATCAACTGCAGCTGCTTAGCTTTGGACACTCTCTCTAGTAAAGGGAACTTAATAAAGCTCCCTGTGAGGAACAGCACACTGTAAGGCATTAGAGTCACCCACAATGACATAACGGTAATATCCGGAAGCATATCCGCCAGTGAGATTGATATCGATTCCTGGAAAAGAAACACTGAAACTTTCATTTGTACACTTTCATTTATACAGAGTTATTCATAATTCCCCGACACAATACAAAAAATCGCTAGACTTGAACGGTGCAATAGATGGTAACATAGGACATGCCGATAGAAACAAACTGGCAGTACATCCCTGCCTGTATCTATCAATAATGTATACATGTTTTACCCGTTCTAATACATTACACGTTATGTAAAGTTTTAAGATTGTTCTTAATATCATATAAATATATATATAATACAATGATATTCACCTATAACCTTACCTCTCTTGACTTCAGAGGGTGGTTAATAACTGTTACTGATTTGCTTGAGTCTTTAGAACTGATAACAGCATTGGTCATAAGATTGAGGGAGATAGGTGCTGCATGAAAAGCAGAAGGTGAATACATGGCATTTAATATTG